TTTTTTTAGTAATAAATTATATTGTAGACCAATAGAAAATATTACCCTTTTCATTTTTTGAAGTCTATCTTACTTATAATGAATCTTGTATCAGTAGCCTGGAGGTCTAATACATTAGGGGATTCATCATTTCATTTCTGTCAGAATTCTTATCTTCTCTCTTATATGCCTTTCAGTTAATCTTATTTCTTAAAGGTTTTGAGCTATTCTTAACCCTGGGGGAAAGTTCAAATATAATAGAGAAGGAGAAGAGGGGATAAAAACGTAGTTTAGTAGTCTAGTCACTCGGTGTTTTGGAAAATTATTAAGACCATCACCTTCCCTTATTTTTTAGAAGGAGCACACTCTTATCTCTTAGCGGAGAAGAGTTGTGTGACTGAGGACTCCGTCAAAAGATGGAGAGAAAATGTACTTTCAGGGAGTGAAAACATGAAGAGCCTAGTGTACAGGGAATCGGTTTACCTGTCTCCATTCCCTTCCTGTGGGGACCTGAGGGTTGCACACACTGCGTTTCTCTGGGATGGTACCAGATAGGAGCTTGTCGATTTCAGAGTCAGCTTTGTGAATTTCTGCTCATCATTACCAGAGTGTCTGTGATAAAAATACTCAGACCGCCTTTTCCTTATTTTAAATACAGAACTCACATCTGTTTGATTTTTCTGTGGTTTTTTAAAAAATATGTTCTTCATGTTCCTGCCCACTTTTATTTTAGCCACTTCAATTTGAAGTTCATTGGGAATATGAAATATGAAAAAACTTTTCCTCTCACCTGTTCTTTGGGGGGCGGGGGGGACAGGGACATCTTGTGAAAAACACCTGTAGCGGTAGAGAAGCCTGCAGTGCAGGGCGTTTCATCAGTGGGACGCGACATGACAGCAGCATGCTGCCGCCAGGATGTAACATGGCTCCTGTGTGTGGGGGGTCAGAAGAGAGGACTGAGTTCTTTCCAGTTCCCAGAGTGCAGACCCCTCAGCAGCTCCCTGAGTAGATCTGGTGCCTTTGTTTGGAGGCAATAAACAAGTATTAGAAAGAAAATTTGTGCCAACTTTTTAACCTGCATGATGAGTGTGGCATCATTAGGAGACCTTTCCTCACACCCATTGTTTATAGGCACCTTGGGGTGCTCTGAGAAAGATGCCCCTTTGTTTCTGCTGCTGCTTCCCTTTTGTGGAAACAGCCAACCTACANCAGCTTTACTCCCCTCCTTTTATATTGGCCCCAATCAAAGACAAGCAGACAGAGCTGGGAGAGACGTTTGGTGAGGCAAGCCAGAAGTACAACGTGCTCTTTGTGGGCTATTGTCTGTCTCACGACCAGCGCTGGCTTTTGGCGTCCTGCACTGACCTCCACGGGGAGCTACTAGAGACCTGTATTGTAAATATCGCTTTACCAAACAGGTGAGGAGCCTCGCTGTTACGAGACAGGTGCATCAGTGCTGTGCCTTTCCTTAGATAGGACTTTTCCTAACTTTCCTACCTAAATACAATGGGTCCCGTGAGGGTGGGCTGTGGAATTTTCTTGGTTTCATCTAAGTGATAACTTGGATTCATTCGGGGACCTCTTCCCCATTCCTTTCCTCTTTAGATCACGGAGGAGTAAAGTATCTGCACGGAAAATTGGACTGCAGAAGCTGTGGGAATGGTGCATAGGAATTGTCCAAATGACATCTCTACCCTGGAGAGTCGTAATTGGGCGACTTGGGCGTCTTGGCCACGGGGAGCTAAAAGGTGAGAATTCCTGAAGCAGAACGGCCGGAATCAAAGGACAGGGGCTGAGCTAATGTCATTCACTGAGCTGAGGGGGAAGATTATAAAGCTGACAGCAAGAATAAAGTAGATAATATTTTCTCGTTCTTTGAAATATACAGGAAACCAGTGGTTTTTAAACTTCATTAGCAGCAAAACCATTTACCGTATTTCCCCATGTATAAGATGCACCCTTTTT